CGAAGGGGATAAATAGAATAAATAGGAATAAAAAATAAAAATACAAGTGAATTGCACATTTCAAGTATTGAGGTCTATTGCACTGTTGACTATTTACAAAAGTATTGCACAAAAGGTATTGCACAGTGAGGTGAAGAGGCACTACAGCTTAGTTGTTTATTTGTACATCCAGATGATACAGAGCAGCATTAGCTTTCATTTGAAGATGCATTTCTGTACACCGGATTAATGTAAGTCCACTACTCACTCTTCTTTTAGCTCCTCTGTGGTCTACAGCTCCTGGGGGAAATATCTGCCTCTTTATCTGCTTAACTCCACTGTTTTCAAAAGCCAGTTGTTCACAGCTTGCAGCTAAATTTTTGTTTTTGTCTCTGCCTACAGTGGATGAAAACAGCTCTAATATTAGCTGTAACCACAGTAACAATGATGTAATAAACCAAAACAATGAGCTCAAAGATGCTAAAATGTTTTGTAGCTGAAACGCATGGTTATTATTTGCAGGTTCATCTCCTTCGCATTACACATAATCCTCTGAACCAGTGTTTATGTTTAAAATCAAGCAGAACTTTTCAGAGCTACAGATTCAGATGTGCAAATAACTGCAGTTCCTCTTTTGTCCACTTGAGGCTGACTGTAAAAGCGAGTCAGTCCCCATAGACTCCCATTTTAAAATGTCAGCAGAAACACCTGTTTACAGCCTGCTTTAAACTGTAGCTGTGTATGTAAGATTTCCTCCTTCATTCTTGTACAGGTATTTTTTTTCTCAGTTACAAATTTGAACTTTGTTAAGGGTTTAAATAAGACGTTCTTGGATCATTGAAATGGTTCTCTCGACCACATTTGTGGTGTTCGTGCCTTTTGGTGAATTTCAAATGCAATAATCAGACAGATTATACGGCTTTTGGGGTGCTTAAGGGTATTTTCACACCAACAGTTTGTTTGCTTTGGACCAAAGCGGTTGATTAGTTTGTAATTTTGTAGCTTTTTCATGGCTTGGTTTCTTTTAATCCAGAGAAAACTACAAGCAAATTTCAAGTGAAAGAAAATGCGTCACTATGTGAGAATGTTGAGTCCACTTACTTGCTAGTTGTGTCTGGTGTGGGAGCAGCACACACAAACACAGGACAAAGATGCTGTGTTCTTGACTGGTGGATAACACAGAGACTTTATTTAACATTCATATTTATCTGGCCAATTTCATTCATTTTACAGGAAGTTGCTACATTTTACCCACACAGATGCAACACTGCTTTTATTAGTTACAGCAGCAGAAAATTAACCTTGTGGAGCTCATGAAAAGCTAAGCCACCATGATGGAATTTCAAAATCGTGACCTCTAGCTTCATAATCCTTGTCTTACCCTCCTGAACGATCTGCCCGGCACACTGTTAGCATTAGCTGTTATCTTTTCACTCCACTCTCTTGTCCAAATACACTCAAAAACCAAGGTGGTTGGAGCTCAAATTCTAAATGGTCGGGGCTTTACAAACTTATAGCTAAGCACAGTGGCTATTTTTTAAATAGCCCAGCCTTAAAAAACCTAGCTAACTACTGATGCACATGCACAACTACATAGGATAAAAATGAAATTACCTTAACACTTAATGAGATTTGAAGCTGCCTGTTTAACCCTCTTCATGTTCTTCTGTGAATACACTCGCTGATTGCTTTTGTATTTGATACAAAGCGCAG